GTAAAACAAATGGGCGGTGAAGCAGAAGAACAGTTGATTAAATGCATTACAAAACTGCTCAAGGGCCCTGAAGGAAAATGACCAGAAATAAGAATGAGGGCTGGATCGTAAATCTTTTCCAAAACGACAAGAGAGATGGCCTGGATAACTGCAGGAGTAAATGCGTCTTTCCTGTGGCCAGGCATGTAGAAGCAAAAATCTGTGCTACAAGACTGAGAGAATGATCAGAGACAACGGGTGTGGTAGGAGAGAACCAACCGGAACTCAGAAGGAGATACTCAACCCCAGTGGTCATCAGGATGGAGAAGGAGACACAAAGAGTACTCAGGAATGCAGCACCCAAGTCGGAAGACCTGGCCCTATTTTATTAGACATCACTATAGACTATACCAACTTAAATAAAACTAATTTTCAGTCCCTTAACTGGAAACTGCATATACTGGAGACAGTTTCCAGGGCACTAAGAGATCCGCATGAGAACACTATCTATAGGATGAAAAAGATACAGGAGGTCCCAGGGACTCATAGAAACCAGCAGGAGGACTCAGAGAGAGGTGTGCTTGTGCTAAGATCCCAATCATGTTCAACATCAACCACAGGCAGATGAAAAAGGGAACAAGAAGCAGACTAGAAACCTGGAATGCGGCCTCTCATGCAGTTGGTCTGAAGTAAGTAGCCGCCCATCGCAGGGCGTCAGATTATCGCTGAGAGGACCAAGCAGAACGCAGTCGAAGAAATGCCCTTCATTGATAACTCAAAAACAAGAAGAGGCACTTTGGAAGAGTTAAAATAAAACAAAGAAGTGAAAAAAAATTATCTGGCAGTATGAAGAACAAAGCACAGAGGAAAATAAAAGACTATAAAATTGGGAACAAAAAGTGTTTGGAAAACTAGAATGTAAGACAAGCGGATAAGAACGAAAATTGACGTGGACGCCAGACTGCACACCAGATAATACGCTTTGGGTGTGATTCGAAGATTATTTTCGTTATCAAATTTGAGTAAGAGCAACAAAGTCAGTAATAACTCTGACTCTGATTCTTTGACTGTATTGTAAACCCAAGAACCCAAGGAGATATCAAAAAACTGCAAAGCCCTTTCAAAAAATGACACCCCTCAGTCTGGAACAATGGAAAAAGACTTGCCCAACAAGAACACAGGAAGGGGGTTAAGTTTTACTGTGCTTGAAGAGAGCTGGATCGACAGTTTGAGGCTTAAAATAGAACACCAAAGAAGATTGGATGTCGTCTTTTGAATTTCAAACGGAGGACTTGAAAATATAGTGGTATTAAGAGAGTGGACGCAGAAGGCAGCCTTAGAAAAACACTAAGAGGGAAATCATTCTACTGGAAGCGCTTTTTCCGATAGACCAGAGAAGAAGATAACCATCTAAAAGAGACGACGAAAGATAAGAAATCCTGGAAATCGTTCCTGCCTCTTAAGAAGAGTCCGATTTATTCAAGGTTGAGAAGGGAAGGTTAATCTCGTTAGAAGTGGCGACACGAAGCCCATTGGAGCCCATTTAGAATCAGGGAGACAACAGTTAAGTGTGGAAGGGAAGCTAAAGACAGCGGTTGTATCACGGCTACAGGAAGTGTAGTGCATGCGATGAAATCCCACAGGGTCACAGATCTTACACAAGTGTCTGGAAGTGTCAGAACAAGAGTCTGTTGACAAACACGTGGAAGGTTGTCCAAGGCAGAGACCTACAGTGGACTGATCCAGGTGACAACAATGGAAAAACACGAGTTGCAAAGGTGACAAAAACTTGCTAAAGACCCGCCGAAAAATAACACGAAGGAGGAGCTTTAACCTAACAATAGAAACATGATAACAACCAAATGAAAATAATTTAAACACTCAAAAAAGGCTGCCATACATGCCACGCATGGACATCGGAGACCAAAATGACAAGGTACTGAATACGTGTGAGCAATAACATCACAGTAGCCAAGCCCGACAGTTGTCAAAGCTTTTTTGTTTTATCTAAAAGTTGGGGATGGGATGCTGCTGTTTGCACCTTTTTGCAAGACACTTTTCAAAAATTTCAAGAACGTGGTCTTCAAAAAAAGTATCAAGCCAAAATTTGTTTGCGCGTGAACTTAAATAGAAGCTGCTTTTGGAAGCTTCGAAGCTGCATTCAAGGTAGATCTTTTTTGATACCCAGAAACCGGACATTTTTTGCTTCCAACCAAACCTTTTCGAACTGTGGCCCAATTAGCTTGCATTTTTGGAATTTGTTTGATCAAACACGAAAGTGAGGAGCACAAACAAATATGAAGCTGGAATAGCTTTTGGGACGGTTGTCCGAAATTCGGAGAGCAGAAACAACATTCTCGACTCGATATAAGACGTATTTCACAAAGTGAAGAATCGAATACTACAAAAAAGTATCGAGAGCTCAATGAAAAAATTAACCACTTAAGAACTCATTTTCGGATGAGACTTTATCTTTGAAGAAGTGTTGGTAAGGTATGCTTTCTATTTGTTGAATTTCGTATTAACCATCTTCTAATTTTTCGGATTGAAGTCCCGTTGGCTTGAAAGTCATTTCGATTTGCAGCCCCGTCGGCCCGTTGTCTTAGACTCGTTTATTTATTACGCGACAATATATTGACAATTGCAGATAAAACAATCCGCCTTTTTCGGAACGCAATCTCGCCCGCTTTATTGCTCCTTCGGCCGAGTAAAGCCGAAATCTGTGTTTCGGCTGATAATGCCAAAATAATTCAACGTTCGAACCGCTCTCGATTTTAGAAAAATGGTTGGAAGCGTAAGTCGCGAACTTTGCCTCTGGATTATAAACGTTTACCTGAGTGTTTTGTCGTAGTTTGGGAACATCTGGTCCAGCATCCGGCTAACAGTCAGTCGCTGGGACATTTCACGGCCAGTGGAAAACTCCACATTCAGAAGCAACACACTTGTAACGCTAATTATCAAATCTAGAAGCATTTTGAGCCAAAACAACCTAAGTTTTTTGCTATTGCTTCAAATTTGTAAGTAAACGAAGTAACTGAATCAAGACAAAATAGTACACTTATGTTTGTTTTTACAATTATTGCTCATAAAATTGAATTGGTTTCTTTGTTTAATGTAACAAAAATTTCCTCTAATGTAATAAAAATGAACTAAAAAATATAACTCGAAGTAAATAAATCTAACAAATGTCGAGTATCGGTAAATTGGAATTTTAATAATGGTTTTCTGCTGGTTTTGTTTTTTTTGCAGAAAAAATTTAAATTCAGTGACTATTAATAAAAGTTATTAGAAAGTTGAGACATTGAGACTAATATTCAACTTTTAAGTATTAACACAAAAATATGTCAAAGAAAAGATATATCTGATAGTTCAATTTGCTCTGTCTGTGTTTGAATTATAAGCTATCTCGCACCGACAAAAACAAGATTATGATTTTTAGAAAAGATTTTGAATGAATCCAAATTGGATTACTGCAACAAAAATAAGAGCTGATTTGAACTTTGAATAGATGTATACAAAAAAATTAGGATCATTTTTAGCCCTGAAAAATTGAATTAAATTCATTTGGATAGCTTTTGGTTATTTGGTATTTAATAGAAAAAAATAATCTCACTGAACTTGGTTCTTAGGGTTACTTTAAGATCAATTTGGTACGTATGTATATTTTACTTTTGCTCCAAGCTTTGAGCGAAATTTTATTCTAAAGAAAAATCGTAAAGCGATGTGCTCTACAATAATTTGAGGAGGGGTGCTCACCGCAAACCATATTAGTTTCAGGCAGATCCAGTATTTTCTCGGGGGGGGGGATTTTCAAAAAACTTCTGTCGATTTTTTTAATGTTGACCAACTTGACTTTCGGAGCTCTCAGAACACTCAAGAGACCCGATTTTGACAAAACATTTTGCACAGCAGTCAAACTTTTGAAAAAACAGGTTAAAAAAGGTCGTTTTGGGCACTTTTTGGAAAATTTAGACCAAAAAATGGATTTTTTCGACGCGCATTCTTCTTCAAAGTTAGTATATATAGGCAACTAAGGCGCCTTCAAAAAAAAATTAGCGTTTGTCTCCTGAAATGGATGTTATAAAATAAATCCAAAAGTAAGACCCTTTAGTTGGCGAGGGGATCCAATTCCTGAGGGGAGGGGGAGGGGGGTATCCCCTCTCTAGAACCGCACTGGGTTTCAGGGGATCCATCTAAGATTTTGCAATCCTAAAATTCCCGCGGCAACAAAATTCTATTGGTAACCCCTAACTCCGCTCTACATATTTCGCATCTATAATTTTTATTAACTTTCCAAATTACTCATCATATTAATTGAGAAACGAACGAGTACATAAATTTGTATTTAAACTCTATTTAATCTGTATAAAAAAATTAGTAAAAAAAAGATAGATAAAAGAAAGTGATTTAGAATTCATTGATTTGACTAATTTAGCGTTAATATTAGATCAATGTAAATTGATTTAAAACCGATTATACTTGATAGTTTTTTTTAAAGCGTTATTTGTTACTTAAATCAATTTTTCCGTATTTTTCACTGAGGGATTCATTGTGTTCCCACCACCGAATGGGGGCCAGAACTCATAGTAGAATGTAGTTTCATCATTAGCTAAAAACTACTAACATTTTCGGATGAAGTTGAAGGATATATCATATCGAAACACGTTCAGTTGTGATTTGAGCTGCAATGAGTTCCAATGTTGAGAAAAACTTGTTTGAAAATTTCGCTTTTAAAACGATTAAGTTTCATTTTTGGAAGTTAAAAAAACGCTCTAAAATGTTTTAATTTTGATCGGATATAATTCACAAAACCTCTTTGAATTTCAACAGCAGACATTTTTTGTTCCAACCAGTTACAAGTTTTGTTTATTTTGGGGAGTTTTTGATATTTCATGTTCAAGTTTTCTCATTCGTAAATGGATCATACCAAAAATTCGAAAAAGTTTTTCCATTAAGGAGAAATTTGGCTGCGGTGGGATTTTTCCGGGCCAGAGTTCAGAGCAAATGAAGCACAAAGTTCATAAGTTAATTTTACGCACCCCTTAATTTACGTTTAATGCAAAAACTTGTTGATTCAAACCCAGAATAAACAATAAGACAATCTGACAGTTTCAAACAAAGTCTCCCGGGTGAAAAATAATTTAGAATAACAAACCATAGATTTTATCAGCCAGTTTGCCAGCCAAGTTCAATAAAACTCTAATCTGGTCACTATCGTGAATGAGCCTCAAGAAAATTTAGTGTCTAAAATACGGGAATTAAAGAGAATACAGAAACTCAGTATTTAAATTCTCTGAAAATGCCAGGGGCCAAATTGGCCAAGTATTTCCAAGCAAAATATGGACAAACATTGGGCGAAATATCGACACGTTTTGGATCACGCTGTTATAGCTTCAGATCTTTTTGCTCAATCGATTCTAGGATTTCGAAGGAAGGAAACAAATTGCAGATTTCAAATAAATTGTGAAGTGTTCGCTCTGGATTTGGGTTGAAATTAGACTAAATTCTGGGTGCGAGCTGGAATGAACCTAATGTGATATAAAATAAAAACCCACTTACGGCAGAAGTCTTTGAGCCCAATGGGATTGGAATTTCCATTAAGCACAGGTTATTTACACACTTATAACTGAAAGAGTGTTTGTTCTCAATTTACATACATATGTCTAGAATTCGAATTTCGCCTCTACAGAGCTTAAAAAATAGGTGTGACGTGTACAACCAGCGGCTATCTTTGATTCTATTTGAGCTTACCTTTATATCTTTTGATTGAGCTCAGACTAGTGAAATTAGGTTTAGAATATTGCGGATTAATGAAATTATTTTGCGTTTCAAATTTCATGTCGCCAATTGGTTTTATCTTTTTTGACTTAAGGGATATATACATTTTTTGGCTATATCAAACACGCCAGCAGCAAACTTTTTGAATGAGTTCCACAGTCATTTTTGAAAAGCAACAAGCAGCTGGAAACAAGGTGGTCTGCAGAAAAAATTGCCGGTCGCTGGGCAAGTAGCCTCGCAGAGAAGTTCCGAACACACTATCTTTGCAAGAAAACGTTGATTATTAGTGAAGCTCTATCGAAATGTTATCCTTGTTTCTTGTTCAACTCACCAACTTCTAGCTTCAAATCGGTCCGCTTTAAGTTTTTTTTTATTGCGGGCAATTGCAGATGCATCATGCAGACTTTTAATTCTTCTAAATTAATCATCACTCGATCTTGCTCTTGTGCGTGGTGTTTTTGTTCCAGCCATTTATAAAAACAGGGAGGAATTTTGTATTCGGGTGTGTTGTAGTTTTTTCTTATTTTTTTGTTTTCCACAAATAATCATTGGAATGGGCCGAGTGATAATCATATTAAATCCCTTTCAGTCGTAAAAAAAAAAACAGTTTGAAACAGACTACTAAATTTTTTTTTAATTTTTAGCCTAAATTTGAGCAAATACAGGCGAGCAAGCAGACGTAGATAGATAGAAGCCTGATTTAATTCGCGAAAGCTTAGTTTTCGTCGTGTAAGTTTCTTTTTTGGACTTTTTTCAAACACATTTTGAAATTTTTTTTGTGCTTGTTTTAATGACCTTTTTGTTGTTCAAGTTATTTTTCTACAAAAAGTGTTATTCAATTTAACTACTTTACTGTGACTGTCTAAGTTTTAGTTGTTTGTTCAGATCGTTTTATCACACCACGCAACAAAAAAAATCGATATAAATTTAAAAACTTTTTTTTGGTGTCTTCTAAGACAATGGTCGGATCATTATGTGCTATTTGGCTATTTACAGAGATAGCGGCTATCAGTGTTGCAGTTTGTTTTTTGTTGAGTGAAGGCAAAAAACAGCTGATTTTTTTCCACTTTTGATAGTCGTGAGAATAACGAAACAACGTACGCAGATGCGATTGAAAAACCCAAAGAGAGCTGTTGGGCATAGTTTAAATGGCGACAAATCACTTAGCATACAATTCATTCAACATACTTCAAGTTTTCAAATCGAAACTTATCATTCAGCACATTCTAGCTCAAAAACGTATCACTTCAGCATAGTTTTTTTGGATTTTTTTTCCGTACTGAGTGACCTACCGTACAATGGACCTTTCCGCATAAAATAATCATTTCAAACAAGCGCACTGAATATAATGCTGGAAAAAAATTTGAATGCTGAATAGCTATTTTGTCCTGTATATAGCGTAAATTTTTTATGATGATTTAATACCGGATCCATTAACTTTTTGGACTAATTAGATCGATTTATTTCGTCCTTGAAGTCAGTTTCTGACAACTGGAGTTTTATCCTCCCTAAATCGATTGGGGGGATTGCCCAACATTTTACCACAAAAATGGATCAGTTTCGACTTTTTTTTCAGTCAACCAAAAACTACTTAAAAAATACTTGGTCGATCACTGACAAAATTAATTCAAAGTGAGCTTCTTACTTAGCCTAACAAACTTTAATCATGGTATGCTCTCCGAAACGGTTTATACATTAAATTTTTTTTGATAGACAAAAAGATCGTTTTTACCATATAAAACTCCAATTTCTTTACTTAAAAACAATTTTTAAACAAGTTGATCAATTTTTTTGGAGAGTAAACCCTTCTTAAAGTTTGTTGGGCTACTTAAGAGGCTCACTTTGATATAATTAAGTCAATGATCAATCAAGAAGATTTGGTGTAACTTTTGATTGCCTAAAAAACCAAAAACTGAATCATTTAATTCTGCTGAAATTCTAAGCAAGTTTTGTCCTCATCATTTTTTACCTGAAGTCAACCCATTTTAAGAAAAACGCGTTTCAAGTTTCTAGCTTATTGCGTTTTATCCGATTAATTTAAATCAGCCCTGTATAACTAGTATGCACTTTCAACTTGTTTTAAATTTTTCGCGCATTCAGTCCTTCGAGGATGAGAAAAACTCCAAAGTTTGCATTAGCTACTAACAATACCCTAATGAAGATCAGCATCAAAAAAATTAAGCAGCTGAGGGTTTGTCTTTTAATCAATATTCTTATGAGCTACTCAGATTATTCAGGTTCTGAATCAATTCGCAAGCTTTGCTTTTAACAAATTTTTCGGACGTCTTAAATTTTTCAAATAACTCTGAAATCGAAACAGTGAAATCGCGTCAAAACTGCAATCGAATTATTAAAAGGGTACTTGAACTGACAAGAGCAATTCAAAGTGATTGCGCTTTTTGGTTTCATTCAACAATTTGCTATGTAATTTTTCAAAGCAAAAACAACTCATGCAATATCGACAGAAGGCAAACTCGAAACTTCATCGAAATACTTCAACTTGAATTAAAATTGATGGTCAGAAGTTTTTCAGAAATTTGTTAAGTTGTCCAGTGTTACAAGCTAAGAAATACAGCATCCAATAATTTTTAGCAAAAGGTTCAAACAGACAGAAAACATGAAAAAACAATCTGTCAATTTGGATCAATTTTTGCAAGCAAACCTGATTTTTTAAGTGACTCTGATACAAAAATTTGGTCTGAAAAAAAAACTTTTGCCAGCCAAAGTATTTTCAAATAGATTTTTTGCTGTTTTAAATCAATTCTGTCTGTCCGAACGTTTTACAACTCTCTATTTTTGACAAATTTTTGCTTTGAAAAATAAAGTACGCCTGATGTTATGATTGTTCGCGCTCCAGTACGTGGAAAAATATCATTCAGCGGAATGTGAATACAAAGTTAAATATTTAGCGGAATAAATTTTATTTAATAATTATATATCTTTTGACAGTTTAGTCAGTTTTTTTAACACATCATTCTTTGGAGACAAAAAACAAAAAAAAATTAAAACAGTGCTGATATATATTAACCGCACGAATCAAAAAAAATTCAAATAGGGTTGTTTTTTAGACAAAAAGCGACAAAATTAACTTTTTAGCGCAAAAAATTTTGAAAGATAATCTGTTGCAAATTTTTGCAATAACTGAACCCAGAGTTCAATAAAAAAAATCTTTTTTGAGCTTTTCTGTTTATTCAAAAAACGTTAAAACTACCAGAAAGATTGCTGAACATTTATATCAAAGTGAACCTCTAATGTAGCTCAAAAAATCTAGAAGGGTTTAATCTTCTATTTATATTGGGATTACGATCAATTTGAACAGAGACAGCTCAGTGGATTTCTCAGTATACGAGCTGAATAGCGATAATCCAGGTGCCTATTTCAGAACAACACGTGCTCGTAGTGTCGGTCCCCTAAATTTTTCTGTAATCGGGTCTTTGAAAACTTTGCAGATTCCTCCAGACCACAAGGATACTTGGCAAACCCCGCGTTAGTGGACTCAAGCGCGACAGAGAACATTCCGGCACCAGCAATCGTACATACATCTTAGAAATAGATCTTGGTTGGCGGAACGCTCGACATCATTTCCGTCTCTTCAAAATCAAGTACTCATGACATTTTATCAGACGCCGCAGAATCTAGCTTGAGAGAACAAGAAAACCTCAGAATTGGAAGAACTTTTGTTACCATTGGAGCCTATACAGGATGACCTAAAAAAATTGCATCGAATACGGAAAACCAGTTTTTGATTCAACTGGACGAATTCATCTAAGAAACTTGAGGGGAAGGCTAAAATTAAAACTTTCAAGAAAATTTTGCTGAAAACTTTGTACCTGTACTGAAGGCTAGAACTACCATTTTTCGATTCAGTACATCAAAATAAACCCATCTAAGTTAAAATTGGGTTATTTCCTAAATTAACTTCTTCGGATCACTTGGAACTAAAAGAAATTTTACCTCTTTCTTCAACTAATCAATTTATAATAGTTTTTTTTTTTACTCTAACACAGTTATTCACATTAACCTTCTCCAGATAAACCATGGGATTTTCAAAATTCAAATTTTAATTCTAGTTATAGTTTCTGATTGCAAATGGAAGCTGAATTTTGGTGCGTTTTACAGAAATTTGATTGTTGTGGTTTTACCTTTTTTCACAGTCGCCCGAGGAAGGGATTTATTCAGCTACTTTATTCATAATTAAAAATTCAATGTTTTTCCAAGAAAAGGAAATGTTGTGATTGCTCAATCAATTTAGTTTAAATAATTGTTTGGTATTGTCTGATCTTGAATGTGTACACTCCATTACAGTGAACCTGTCACCATTAATTGTTCATACTTTATAAAAACAACTTTAATTCAATTTTTTTGTATTTTTGTTATCTGAGTTTAGTTTAGCATTTAAGGGGTCATTTAAAAATTACGCTAGAACTACTAGCTTGATTGCCCAAAAAATTATATCATAGTGAACCTCTTATGCAGCTTGAAAAATTAGGGTTATGCAGATTGAACAATATTTCTATTGATACTCAGGTCAATCCAAAGTAATTTTTTTGAAAAGATTTAAGGCAGTCATGACTTTATAGAAAAAGGATTCAGACGATGGAACAAAAAAGGGGTTTTTCACTTTTGAAAAGATACTTTTTGATACTGAAAGTTTTCTGACGCTTATAAAAACAGTGTAACCGGAATATTGTATCAAAACGTATAATGTATTGATATA